GTGTGAGTGTGAGTGTGAGTGTGAGTGTGAGTGTGAGTGTGAGTGTGGATAGAGCCTCCCAGTGCACACCCACCGGCTTTAAATAACAATGTGCATTCTCTCTGATCCCAGGGGTAGGAGAAAGAGAGAGAGCGCGCCCCTCACAGTGTCCCTGGCAGATTTAGGGGCAGCTGAGGTGCCTGATTTTCACGCCCAGTTACTGAGATCGACATCAACTCGCTTTCAAAATGTGGCCCAGTTTGTGTGAAACCCAGCACCTCTTCAGCTAAAGCTGCACTGTGTAGAGATGTTGATTTTGTTTTCACACTCTGAGTCAGACTGATGGTTTTCCCGGCGTTGTGTTTCAGTGTAAAGCTGCATACCAGTGTATCCTGATCGCTGACCAGCACTGTCGGACAAAGAAGTATTTCCTGTGCATTGCCAGTGGAGTCCCGTGTGTGTCGAACCTCTGGGTTAGAGATAGCTGCCTGGCCAGTCAGCTCCAGCCTTACAAGAATTACCTGCTTCCAGCAGGATACAGCGTGGAGGCTGACCGCATCCTGGAATGGTGAGAGCACGGAATCTCCCCCTACTGCTTCGGGTTTTCATTTGTGTACCCCACTGTCATTTCAGAATCTACATCTCCCCACCCATTTTAACCCCCCGGCCCCATCACTGAGTCTACCCCTCACACAGCGCCCCTTCCGCTCCGCTGTCACTGACTCTACCCCCTCCCACAGCCTCACCTTTGTTCAAGTCAATTGAAACATTGAAGTTGATGTGATCTCAATGACTTCGTCTCCTTTCCAATCTATTCATGCTTCCTGTTTGCCTCCTCTCTTTCACCCCTCCTCTCCTCTCTTTCTCCGCTCCCTCCCTCCCTCTTCTCATTCACTGCTCCCTCCCTCTTCTCTTTCTCCACTCCCTCCCGTTCACCGCTCCCCCTTTGCTCTCTCGATTCCTCAGGCATCCCCGGAGCACTCCGTTCAAGAACATGAAGTTGCTGCTTGTGTCGGACCAGCAGGAAGGTTTCCTCAGCCTGTGGTCGGAGATCCTGATGATGGGAGGGGCAATGTCAGTTCGGCAGCACAACTCCTCAGCTCACAATAAAGGTCAGCGTCAACCTAACCCATACACTCGGTCCTGGG